CGATAAGTTAATATATACAGACAACAATCCCTACACTGGGTTGCTATAACAGTCCGTATTTGTTTTGAAAACGTGCGTGCTGAAAGCATACACAATGGCTATAAACATCTAACATTATGAACACTATAAACTCATCGCCTTGCATGCACATCGCCATGCACACAAACGAATATTAAACTCAAAATACATTTTGACTCCTTGTATATAAAATAAGACATTGACATCATGAAATCATATGTTTCAATACCTCTGTATCGAATGCTAAACTGCGCAGATCTGAATACCTATATTAAATACCTCATGGCTCAAGTATATCACCAGAAAGAAATAAAACCATTCTTACCTGATTATTCTTTGATATTGTCGAATGTCAATCGTTTGCAAATTACCATTAATCCAACTGTTTCCAACATATAAACTCGTATGGTCTCGTAAAACTGCTTGCAGAAATCAGCACAATACAAAATAAAGTATGGTTTGACCGCCCCCCTCGTTTAAAAAACTTCCTGAAGCTTAATTATTCCTCCCGGAAATCATCTTTACAAACAGACAAACAGACAGACACAAATCAAGATCTCGACAAAAATCTCGACAATACATAGATCGCGCGAAAGACTGGGTCGAGTCAGGGCGCTATAAAACACGGGCGAACAGGTGGGCAATTTGTCTGAGCATGCGCGAAGAAAATCAATATGGCGACATATATTAGGAGTGCTTCGTGGATTTATCTGGTTTTAAAGCTGATAAAACAACATTTTAATGAACGAAAACTTTGTAATATTTAGTGGAAAACATTAAGCTATGCATTCCAAAGGTTTTATTAAATTGAGAATAAGTACTTTTGCTTTATTTTATTGCTTTTTATGCTTTGAAAACCGGCAAGCTCATTTTTTTGCAAAAATCTAATCTAATATTTTACCCATCATTTGTTTAATCTGAGCGGAAATAGATAGAACACTTGGCTATATAAGTTACAAAGGTATTGTTAGCTGATCTGATAGATTTCAGTATTCCTGGTACACATTTTAACAAAGAATGAAATGTAATTTCAAAAATTAAATATGCATATCAAAAATAATAGTTTTTATTAGAACAACACATAGTAAGTTGTTATTTTCTATTTTTACAAAAACAAGTTTGGAAACAGGATTTAGTCCTCCAGCTTGATGTCACATTCCATTTATTTGGATATTTCAATAAAGGAATGTGAAATAATAATTTAATCTTGTGCAAAATTTGATATCAACATACATGTGAACAGATACTATCACCTAAAAATAAAAGAAAACATAACTTAAATTTATCATCTAATGCTATAAAAAAATTCTTAGATACTACAGGCATAAGTTAAGTTATACTATGATAAGAGGATGGCAATATATGACAACATCAAATGTTGTCATCTTCAGTGTCCAAAAAAAGTGCCGCGCGCATTTTTCGTGGTCGCACAATTGGTATTGCGACAAACCCAGGTGAAAATGCAACTGGGTGAAAATGCAACCTGGTTTTGGGTGATGAGCATAGTCAAATTCTTGACTTATTCAAATTTCTATGTTTTTCCAGGTAAACAGATTAAACATTGAAATAAGCCACATTCGGGACCTCATATAATCCAAACTATAGTGTATGGACCAGACTTTTTTCAATTTTCTGTGATTTACATAACACTAGTTATAATTTAAGGGTTAAACAGTATTGTTCAAGACATATTTTCCTTCCAGAACACCTTTTCAAAATACTACCCAAACATATCAAAAATAGTGTACATTTACAAGGGCAATTTCAACCCTTTGGCACATTTTCCCCACGAATGATTTTAATTCTAATATAAACACTATAGATAAAAATTTGATTTAAAGCTAGTTTCAAGTGATGAGCATACCCTAAATTTTAAGCTATACCTCAAAGAAGATAGGTCATTTCAACATAAACATTGAAATGTGGGTATACTGGCAGCTCTGTCATACGTGTAGTTTGACATTAGCAGACCTTCTGAAACATTTTAATGAAAGTATAATTCACAAAATTCACATTTTCACTTACTTCTTAACATCTGTAGGCACAAGCAAAATTTAGTGTTGATGTAAATATCCATTTTGTTCATGTTTCCCCGGTGAAAATATAGTCTATTCCAAAGCTGATTTCGACGTACTTTAGCTTTTCAGAAACCGTTGGCCTTCCTCAGTAAGATTATCAACTGTTTCACAAACATATTTGATAGTAAACAGCTAAAATATTCTCCGAAAGTCTATATTTTTGCTCTTCGACGCGAAAATGGCAACTCAAGAAGAAATGAGCCGCTATTTTTGGTCAGCGTCGACAAATTGCCCACCTGTTACACGGGCGGGGAAACGCGCTAATAAATGACCGTGCTACGTGTGATGCACATTAGGATTGGCGCATGCGCGTTTTCTCTAAAAAAATCAGAAAATCGCGTACAAGATGGCAACAAAAAAATGTAAACAAGCAAACGAGAAAACAAAGGATTTAAATGCTAAGTAATTATGTTTCGTTAATTAAAATTTGAAATATTATTTAATAAGTTACATCACGTGTAATAGCTTGTGTTGTTTGTTGCTGAACACTCGTTGAAAGAAAATTTCAGGGCAAAAATTTCACTCGGGCAAATATTTTATTTGCAAAATTTAAAGCGCGGGCGTATTTAAAATAGTGTTTTCTCCTCGTTGAGATAGGTGGAGATAAATTTGAACACACCAAACTATAGACATTTAACTTGGCTTTATGTCTCAAGTAAAATTGAACGGGGCTTTTTTGGGCTTTTTTCATAAAATGGAGATATCTTGCAGCCTTTATACTTTTCCGTATACTCCACACGACAATAGATTCGCGACTACTATACTTATTTATGCAGATATATAATAATATAATAATAGCTTTATTCATCCATCTTAAGATAAAAAAGTACAATGGACTTACAATTACTTGTTTAAGAAAGTATATATGCTGTGGGTATGTCTTTATATTACAAATTGTTGTAAGATAATTTAGAAAACTAACTAAGAAGTTAAAACTAATAAGTTCTTTAAACTAATAAGTTCTTCCAATAAGTTAAAATTATTTATACATATTTACAAGCTCTTCCTGAAAAAGAATGTTTATGCCTTTCAGTTCCTGAGAAGAATGATATATTGCGATTCCGGTCAATGTTCCTTAAATTGTACTGATTGTTAATTAATTTTGGCAAAACACTGCGACAGGGATGGTTTGGATCGTTCATAAACCTATCAACTTCTCGACTAGTTGCCTCTTCCCTTCTTTCGTTCAGCGGTGGTAGGTAATCTTTTTCCAGGCCAAGGATTCTTAAGCTCCTGGATTGAACCCGCTCTATTTCATCTCGCAGGTAATTAGGAAGTCCCGCCCAGACAGGTGATGCATACTCGAGAATTGGTCTTATTTTGGATTGATAGGTAGTAATACCGACTTCAGCTGGTAACTGCGATTTCCTGCATTCTCTAAGATGGTAAAGGCGTTTATTTGCTTTACGTGTAATCTCTTCAACATGTGCGTTCCATTTTAGATTATTTTGGAACGACACGCCAAGTAATTTAAAAGCGTTGACCCTTTCTATTAACTCATTTCCAGTACGAAGACGTGGTGGTTCAGGTATAGCGTCCGTGAAAGAGATCCACATGTCCTTAGTTTTTTTAGCATTAATTGCCATTTTATTTAACACCGCCCAGTTATTTACTTCATTGATAGATTGTTGTAAATTACTATTAGAATCTACGCTCACTATTTGGTGTTGTGTGCAGTGATCTGCATACTTATTCGTACTGACTTTTAGTTGTTCTGGTAAGGCGTCCTCCAAATCATCAATGTAGGTATTAAAAAGAATGGGAGATATTACAGAGCCTTGCGGGACTCCGGCCGGGCATGTTGCAATGGATGATAAGGTACCATTGAGATTTACTTGTTGAACTCTTCCGGAAAGGAAACTTTTAATCCATAACCAGAAGGGTTTATTTATGTTCATAGCTGCTAATTTGTTCAAAAGAATATTGTCATTCACAAGGTCGAAGGCCTTACGAAAGTCAATGAAGGCCGCATGAACCCCCATTTTGCCTGTTTTTGAACAATCAGTGGCATTAAACCAGGTTTGGGTAGTTGATATTAACGCAGAGACTGTGCTTCGATGTTGAGTAAACGCGTGCTGGTTATTCTATTTAAACAACACAAATTTTCAATTATCAATTAAACGAAATCACTTCCTGCCTCAAATACATACTATAAATGTTTATTGAAGTATCTAGCATCAGCTTATATTGCTAAAATTGGTATCTATTTCACTTGCAAAATGAACGAAGCGATCGTTGAGGAAAAGACATGCATTTTGAACTCGATTTTGACGACATTTTTTCTTTTTTTGTCAAAGCGCGGACGTATTTAAAATAGTGTTTTCTCCTCGTTGAGATAGGTTGAGATAAATTTGAACACACCAAACTATAGACATTTAACTTGGCTTTATGTCTCAAGTAAAATTGAACGGGGCTTTTTTGGGCTTTTTTCATAAAACGTAGATATCTTGCAACTTTATAGTTTTCCGTATACTCCACACGACAATAGATTCGCGACTACTATATACTTATTTATGTAGATAATACCATAGGTAGCCTAACAATCCGCACGCCGTGACGTATGATGCAGTAGTATAATATCCTAAGGTTGGCAAGTAAATAATATCATGACTCGATCGCCACGGCTTAAAAAAGTCGAAAAAAGCAACGTCTCGTGAACAAAGTACGCTAAAAAATAGCAGCCTCTACTTGTAGGATAGTTTTACTAAATATGTACAACGTTTTTTTGCAACAACACGAGTTTATAAGACGAAAAAATACGAAAATTTTCTTTGAATTTGCCGTGTCTCGATGCGGGATGCCTGTTGCCATGCGAAAATCGCCGTTTCAAAACACGTATACGCGATCCTATGCGATTGGCTATCAAAAAACCGAACGATCCGCTCTACAGTTTCAGATTCCAGTTTCAGATTCAAATTCAGATTCATATTCAGATTTGAATCTGAAACGGGGTCAATTGTCGCGTATAAAATGTGGAATTGCTCTGTCTCTTTTCACGGAAAAAACGTAATTCTTCAAGGACATCCATCTTCAGACAATTGTGCATTTGAGTGAAACTATATTTTAGTTTTTAGCTCATAATGTGAAGCCAGGAAAAATCGCAGAAACTACACGACCAACGCGTGATTCTTACTGCGCCATGTTTGTCAAAATTATTTTTCGCTGTGTATCGCAAAATACGCGTGTATTTTCCTAATTTCTGAAAGACATTCATTAGTATACTATGGTAAATGGTATAAAGAAAACTCGGTACGGCATGAGATACGGCTTTTGTAACCTGAAGCGAACGTCAACAACGCAGCTGAGAGAATAAACACTTCTCACGCGTCACAGGCTCACTTTGGAATATTCGTCTGCGAAAGACATTCATCTACAACTATCACAAAATGATACAACGCAGTTGTTATTTTCAAACAACTTGTTGTTTTGGCAGGAAAAATCGCAATACCCAACCGCTGTTGGAATCGAAAATCCGGGCGGGAATTAAGACTTTCATCACAGTTCATTTAGTCTCATATAAACGAAGTTTAGTTTGCCTTCGCAGTGAATCTTCACCAGTTGACTGTAAATTATGGTCAAGTTTAAAATACTCTAAAATTAGGCAAATATTTCTCGCGGAAAAAGGGCTTGGAATCGTTCTTTGGAAGAACGATAGGATATCAACCCCCCGGATTTTATTGTTTCAGATTCAAATTTCATAATAACAATCTCAGTGCGTATAATATAACAATCTTTTGCGATTTTTCCTGCGCATATGCGTTGCCGAATCGCAATAAGAACCAGACAGAATGAAGCGCACAATAATGTAGATGAATGTCCTTCTTTGCGGTATCTGCTGGTTTAATACAGTTGCTGTGGTTGAAGGATTTACGCAGACTAACGCTGTTTAATAACACTAAGCTAGATGAAATAAAACTAATTCTAAAGGACCCAGGCAGCGAAACACACATTCTAGGTGTTACGGAATCTTGGTTAGACGAGTCAATTGATGACACATGTATTAAAATCAATGGTTATACACACGAAAGAAGCGACAGATGTTCAAAAACATTACCAATTGATAAGCATCATGCAGGCGGAATTATTGTTTACATTAAGGAGGACATTCCCTATTTTAGAAGAAATGATCTTGAATCTATCAATGTTGAATCGATCTGGTTACAACTTTGTCCACCTAATAGTCCGGTTCACCTTATTTGTGTAGCATATAGATGTCCTGAGTACACCATATCGCAGTGGATTGAAAACTTTGAAATGCAACTAAATAAAGCTTATGTGGAAGGCCATCAACTAACAATAATGGGAGATTTTAACATCGATGTTTCGAAAAATACCAGTGACTCTCAATGTTGGTTGGAATCTATGGGTGACTTACATCTTCACCATGCAGATTGTTACAGAATCAACAAGAGTTACAGAAAATACATCAACACTTCTAGATCACGTATTTACATCCGTCCCACATAAAATTAGAAGCGTTAAAGTCCCATGAATTGGAATTAGTGATCATTATCCAACTTGCGTAGTATTTAAAGAAAGTTTTGGTAGGAAACATTCACACACGACCATCAAGTATCGTTGCTATAAAAACTTTAACGAAGAAGCCGTTTGTAAAGACTTATCTCAAATCCCTTGGGACACAATCGATATATTTGATGATGTTTAGAGGCGTGGTACAATTTATTCCTTGACGTGATTGACAAACATTTACCTTTGCGAGAAAAGCGAGTGAAAAAACAACAACAACCTGATTGGATGACCTACGAGATTATTCAGTGTATGGCCCAAGGGGACCATTTCAAATCGATCAACGATATGGTAAATTATAAGACCTACAGAAACCGTTGTGTGTCGTTAATCAGGGATGCAAAAACTACCTACTATAAAACTTGTGTTGAAGATCATAAAGGTGATTCGAAGAAATTGTGGCAATATCTACGTGATATTATTCCAACAAATCTTAAAACCGCACCGTCAAGTTTACGAAATAACTCAGACAACTCCAGCATATCGGACCCTGAAGATATGTGTGATCATTTCAACAACTTTTT